GGGTCTAAAAGTCTGAACTCTGACGACTGCTTTGGTCCCCTTGTGCATCATGTTCTGACGCTGGAAGGACTGTCCATTTCATCCCAGAAAATAATGTCGACTGCTTATCTTACTCACTCTTGAGTTGCATTGGTCCCTGAAAAGCATTTCTTAAGGTTCTGTACGGTATTCAGATAACAATTTTTAAGTAGCCCAGCGATACACCATTACTTTTTTATTCTGATGAGCGAAAATTCATATAGTGTTCATAAGCAAACAAACCTTGTGTGCAGTAGTGCAATTCACCTTTTATTTATAACTGTGAAAAGCTGCAGTTGCTTCATGGTCTGCCAATCCCAGGATTAAAGTAACTTTCTGTCTTTTGTTCAGTGAACATTTGCTGATCACCTATTGCAGGGGAGGCATTGTGTGTCCTTGAGTTTAGACAGGTTGAATTTGGTGCTAATGGGATTTATAAGTATAAATATCCAATAGACTCTTAAGTACATGTCTGCAGAAATTAAGAGAAATTTAGACTGTATCAAATAAGTATTATATATTTATACTATTGTTTACACAAAAAACATTCAACTGTTTAACTCCGCTCACATGTTAATCTTCGAAGAGCTGCAAGTGGACACGGGAAAGAGATGCTCTCTGATGCCCATTGAATTGTCTGATTTAAAAAATACTCAGCTCGGGCGGATGGTGGGCCACCCAGGATGTGCACGCAGGCTGCCAGTAGAAATATAAATTGGTTTAAGTATTTTGCAGAGCACTAGAGCTATGCACGTTAAACACAAAGAATTCTGTGATACCCTTTAATTTAATAATCCCACTCTAGAAAATGTATGGAAAAAGTGTAAGCCCAAAAGGGAAAAGAAAATCTCTACATCTCAGAAAGGGGCAAGGAGCTGAGAGCTGCTAAATGGCTGCTTTGCTCACTACTTTGCATGGGTCATCTTGGGTGATCCTCACAGCAGCTCTCTAAAGTGTCCCCACTTTACAGGCGAAGAAACGAGGCTCAGACAGATTACAGACTTGTCAGTATTATAGAATTTGTCAGTGGCAGAGTTCGCACTTAAATTAGACATCTGCCTAACTCAGACTAATTATGTAAGAATAGAAAACAGTTAAAAATGTGGAAAATTATGGGAAGGAATGGAGTAGAAAACTGTAGATTCTTCCTAATTATTAAGAATTTGTGCATTCAGGGGGGAAATTGGGACAACTGTAGTGGAACGACAATAAAATATTCAAAAAACAAAATACAACTGTAAAAAAAATGTACATGGACTAAGTAAGAGACAAAGGAAAAGTTTAATGTGTTACTGTGGCAGCTTTTGTTTAAGTGTGTTGAAATTGCCATAATCTTTTTGATTTTTTTAAAAAAAATTCTGTTGTTTTTTGTAAAAAGGATGTAATTAACATATTTTGACTGTATTTTCAAATGTATTACTCATGCCTCTCTGTGCTTCTAAAAGGTGTCTGAGCTGTTATGTCTGAGTGCATCCTCTTTCTCGTCCTCATGGGCTACTCCTTACCTCCTGAGAACTCTCCCATCAAGGTTTATCACCAGCAAAATCCCTACATCCTTACACTCTTCTCTGAAATTACTTTGATCTTGTTAAATCCCAACCTGGATATCACCTGAAAATGTGGCTTCCCTAAAGCCCTCCCGTGGGCTCCCGGAGGCAACTCTATTTTTGGCCCCCAAGTTTCGGGGATGTAATTGGTCTCTGAGCTCTTCATTACAGACTTGACTGATTCTGCCTCAGCCTTCCCTAAAGCTTTAAGTCTCTCGTCATCAGACTGTATCACCCACCACCCCATCATTGTTACAGTCGTCTACCAAGCTCGTGAATCTTCCTTCGTCTCTCCGTCATTTTCACTCCTGGCTCACCACCATTCTCTCCAGCAACACTTCCCTTTTCATGCTTACGTGTATGGTTCTTGCACTGCTTCTGGCTTCTCCGAATAACGATGACGATTATCCCTGTTCCTGTAGCTCTGCCCCACCTCAGCCTCTTCTCTCATACTTGCCCCCTACACCACATCAACACAAAAACTGCATGCTTGCCTTACCTCAGTTGCATGCTTGCCACTCTGACTGCTGTCCTCTGCCTGGCTCTTGAGCTCACTCACTCCCTCCAGGGTACAGAAATCAGCTCCGTCAGAACCTACCATCCATTAATCCCACTATTCTTTTCATTTTCTCCCTCCCTCCCAGGTCAAGTTCCATGGGCCGTTGTCATAGTCACTCCCTTGCATATATCCTGACTCCTGTGCCCTCTCTCAGGCCTCAGACGCACTTGGTCATTTCACCATCCGGGCTGATTCCAAATCTCTGCCGGCCGTATGCCAGCTCCTGCAGATCAGACATTAGCTGGAGAAAAACACGAAACTGTACTGCTTGATTTCCTTTTAATTCATGACCATGAACCTTAAGTGGGAATTCACGACTGCCCAGCAGTCATATTATGATAATCACTCTCACCAGACTTTTTACAGGCTTTTTCTCTTTCCTTAACCCTCCCAGCACCTCCTCTCTCAACCTTATTCTCGACTGGTGCCTTCTTTCTGCCTTTTGCTGGAAATATTGATGTAATAAAAGACGGCTTCCACCAGCTGCCACTGAACTCATCACAGATGAACTGCTGGTGAAGGCCAGCCCCTCCACTCCCATGTCCCCCACCTACGCAAGGATATGCTCCAGTAATTCCTCTCATCATCTGTTGGTCATTCCCATCCGCATCCATCACATTAAGAAAAACAAAAACAGTCCCCACGTCCCATTCCACTTCCTCCCTGTAGCTACTGCTCCCTCTCTCCCTTTAGCTACCACTCCATCTCTCTTTCCCCTCCATAACAAAACTCCCCAAAACATCATCTGGCATCTGTTCTTGTTATTCCCAGTTCTCCTTTGTCAGTCTCTCTTAAATCTAATTCAGTCAGGCTTTTGGCCCAACTGTTCCAGTGCTTGTATCCAAGTCCTCAGTAAATTCAAGCTGCTACATCCAACAGTTCTCTGTCCTCATGTCACAGTCTTGTCACCAGCATTTGACACACTCATACTCCTCACTTGAATCACCTGGCTTCTAGAATGCACCCTTTGGAATTTTCTTTTTGGCCACCCCCCTCAGTCTCCTGGGACTTAAATTGCAGACTTCTCTGTCTACAGGGTCATCATCATTAAGGGTCGAGGCTTCCAATATCATGTTTGTGGTGATGACTCCCAGATTTATTATTTCCAGGCAGACCTTTCTCTGACCTCCATGCTTATATGTCCATCTGAGAGCCTTTGGGATGTTCGTATGTCTCATAGGCACCTCAGACTTACCCCATCGATACTGAACGCCTGATCTTACCCCCACCCCTCCAACCCTACCCGTCTCAGTCAACGGCATCTCCATTCCTTCAGCTCGCAGGCCAGATTCCCAGTACTTTCTCTCTGCTTCCAAACCCCTGCCATCTGATACCTGAATTATTGCAGGAGCCCCCTAACTCTGCTTCTGTGCCTTGCACCTCTATAATCTGTTCTCAACATGGCAACCAGAGTGGTCCTTCTGTGATGTAGATCCGATCACCTCTTCTCCCCCAGGGGCTCCCCATTCCACACAAATGAAGAGCTGCAACTCTTCACACGTGTGCACAATCTGACCACCTGTTATTTCCCTGACTTTCTCTTCTTCCTTACTTTTACTCACCCTGCTCCAGCCTCGCTGGCAGCATGCCAAGTGAGCAGGCACCCACCCACCCATCTACCTGAGGGTCTTCGCAGAGGCTCTTGCCTATGTTTATAGCCCTGAGAACTCAGCTCCCAGCCACATCAAGGGTCACCCCAGCCACACCTACCCTGGCCACCCTGCACTCTCCACCCTCCTCACTTTTCCCTATTTTTAATAGCACTTCTCACCTTCTAACATACTATATACTGCACTCATTTATTATATTCAGCATCTGTCTCCCACTCCCATGTAAGCTTCAGGAGGGCAGAGATTTTTGCACAGTCTATTTATTGAGTATCTCCAGCATCTAAAATAATGGCTCTACCCAATAAATACTAAAAATAAATGTGTTGAGAGTACGAATGAAAGTTTCCCTATTTCTGCCTGATGCTCCATTTATACTTGCTCAGAGATCTGCCTCAGAATAGCTTTTAATTCCTTTTCAAGTTTCTCAAGTGCTATATTGTAAACAGCATTCAGAAATGCTACTGAGGAACACCATGTCATTGACTTGATTACATATGGTCTTTCATTCAAAACTGAAAACAACTCCTCTAGATTGTAGCAGTAGTATCATAAATATTGAAAATGTATAAACTTCATAATAGATCCTTGACCTTTTTAGGAATGTGTTCAAAGTTCTTGAGAAATCCCCCAACTTACAGATACCACAGAGTGTAATTTACTCTCATGAATTTCATATGTGCCGATAAGAAGGAAAGCAGGAATCCACTTATTGCTGCAGATGCCCAGTGGTTCACTCATTAGAACAAGGCTCTTCCCCATACCCCATGCAGTTGCTCTGCACTCAGGTTTTCTGCTTGTGAAAGCTGATGGTCCATTAGATTATTTTATTCTATTTGCAAATTTTTAGAATACTAATTTTAAAAATTAGTCCCCCAAGCCACTTGGCATTGGTTTTAGAATATAATGTTTATGGGTGTTATTACCACTAAATGGCAATGTGACTTACTCTTAAAAACAAAATGAACAACCACTTACAACAAACAGAGGAAGTTTCTACTTTGAGATCAGAGTACAAGTGAGCATCCATTCCATTTGATGTTGGTCCGCTGGTAATAAACTCTGAATATAAGCAAAAAATGAATGCCTGTTTTCATTTTGAAGCTGATGTTTAAGAAAACCTTCTGCCATGGTAACTTGTTTTTTTAATGATAGTGATCAGAAGCCTTTGACAAGGAGAGTGGGAGTAAGGAATGGGGATGCTGTCGCCACGGTGACAGCTGTCCAGCATAAACATCTCACATCTCTTCCATTTATCTTGTATTTCAGGCCAATTCAAGCTGCTGGAACAAGACCGAGATATAAAGGAGCCAGTGCAATATTTCAACAGTGTGGAGGAGGTGGCTAAAGCATTTCCTGAACGTGTGTACGTCATGGAGGAAATAACATTCAACGTAAAGGTAGCTCCAGAAGAACCAAATATTTACCCTCACTAAAGTAATCTAACTTTCAGGGCATTATGTACACAGAAGGTGCCCATCTAGGCCTCAGAGGAGAGTTCCATATTCTTAATGTGTAGGTGTCAGTGGCCAAAGCTGGTCTTCTAAGAATCAGCATGTGCCATAGGTGACCTGATGCACAGACAGGTACCTGTGCTTAATGAGCACTATCTTTTCCTAAGGTAAGTGTTAAGGCAGATCAAAAGCTTTTTTTTTATTCATTTGAACCGTATTCCCTAATATATAACACATATTTGGCCAGATCTCCTGTGAGGCCGGATGCTCACTTATAGGACAAGAAAAAGGCACATGAAGATTCTAACACCAAACACTTGTTTAAAGAAAGAGAGACTTCCAGAGCATAGCCTGAGATCAGCATATGTTCATTCCATTTTCTGTAGACTATCTGTATCAGGATAAATAGGGAAAATTAATACACAGAATGTTGCCAATAGGTATTTACTGATCCTTGTTCATCAGAGAAAGGCTGAATCATGCTCATTGTGCTGCACTGGAAAGGAGCTAACCAGAGAAGCGATGTCACCGACCAGGTCTAAGCCTACTGCCTGCAAATCCGCTGCTTTTCTTCAGCAGCATTCTCAATTACACTAAGACATTTTAGAAAGTGTCCACATTGAAAGGATTTTCTGTTTAACCCCCTTTCCGCAGGAAGTCCAACTTAGTCACATTCTCTAAACAGTTCAAGATTTAGAAGGCAAGATACGTTTTTCTTAGAAATTCACTCTGTGTGAAAAACAGACTGCGTGGTATCCTAGCCAAGGAAGCAACAGTGTCCTTTGGGTGAGTCAGTCCACCCACACTCCTCCGGAGAGGGGGAAGGCTCAACGGGGGCCTCATTGGAGAGGCGGTGCTGACCATTGGATGGGCTAAGCCAAGTCATTCTCTCCTCTAGTTCTGAAGTCCAGCTGCTATAGTCTACTTTCCCTAATTTTATTATTAAAATGGATAAGATTTTGTGCTTTGTACAATTTTTTACTAAACAAAGTATGCTTATATTAAAAATATTTATAATTTTTACTCCTTAAGTGACCCAGTCAACTCATATTCAAGACAGTTTATATTCATTTACATCGGAGATCTATGAGAATACATTCATTTTTAAACATTTACCAATGACAAGAGTCATTGGCCAGAAGTTAGTCAAATCCTATAGCATAGCTTCTTGATATGATTTAAATCTCTCCTTAAAACTTATATTTAGAATTATGTAAGTGGAAAAAATCATTTAGAAAGGATAGGTAATAATTTTAAACCATTTCTGGAAACATTTCATTTACTGATGATGAGAGATCAGACATAAAAATTTTTTATAATTTTTAAGATTTCATCAAGTATTAAATTTAATATTCAATCTTTTATGACAAATTTTTAATGTAAAAGATTTTTAAAAGATACTTCTGGCAATTATTTTTTGTCAATTTATATGAAATCATCAGTGGTTGAAAAAACAATACTGAAGCCTATCAAAATAGTACATTTTGATAGTTTAACAGAATATCATGGCTATATTGTTTAAAATGTATAGAGATGTCATTTAAAAATTCAGCAGACTGTATTTAACACTATTGACCTACATACTTAAAAATGATTAAGATGGTAACTTTCATGTTTTATGCATTTTACCCATAATTTTCTTAGAAGAAAAAAAATTCAGAGGCACAGATAAGTATATGGAATGCAAGCCTATAACATCCATAGAGCTGACTGGATTTGGGTTAAGTCCCTGTGCTGTGCACACATTAATGTTAGTACCTGTAGTCTATTACTTACAGACTTTAAAGATGCCGTCACATCCAGCTTCACTAATCATTAACACTCTATTCAATTGTATTCAAAGAAGAATTAATACAGGAACCTCGGGAAATTTGCATGAAGAAATACACAGAAGTCTGTATGCTCAGGGAATAAATACCCAAGTAAATAAATAAGCCAAGGAGATTTATGGAATGTGGGTGTTCTTTAAGGAATGATTATTGTGTGGTTGTACATACATGCGGTGCTTAATTTGAGAGCCAGATGGGGGTAAGGAAGCAGCATGCTTGGTCATTGCTTCCCCTGGAGGAGACAAAAAGGCCTAACAGTACTGTTACTCATTGCAACTCATTCATAAATATAGCCATTACAAATACTATATCATATTAAGTGTTATATAAAATAGCTATTATCCAGGAAGGATTTTCCTCAAAAGCTAGAAGAATTCATACACCCTTGAAAAACTTCACCTTCTGCTCTTCACTGTGAAGCGCACAACAAGAATAAGAACTGGAGAAACGACTTGTGGTTGAGAAGTGCAGCTAACTGGCATCATGGTAGTCGAAAGGCACATTTATTATGTGAGACAAAGAAATATATGTTTATATATTCATATATATTTACAGCTACAAATTGAAATAAAACATGATAAGAAACATAATAAGAAAATGGAGTAGAACAGAAGCATTGAAAGAATGGAAACTCTGCTTTTGTTATTTTCAAGATTATACCAATTTTATTTTCTTTTTTTCAAATATATTTTATTGATTATGCTATTACAGTTGTCCCATTTTTCCCCCTTCACTCCCCTCCACCCTGTACACCCTCTCCCATCCATTATCCCCCACTTTAGTCATGTCCATGTGTCATACTTATAATTTCTTTAGCTTCTACATTTCCCATGCTATTCTTACCCTCCCCCTATCTTTTTCAACCTACCATCTATGCTACTTATTCTCTGTACCTTTTCCCCCTCTCTCCTCCTCCCACTCCCCTGTTGCTAACCCTCCATGTGATCTCCATTTCTGTGGTTCTGTTCCTGTTCCAGTTGTTTGCTTAGTTTCTTTTGGTTTTGCTTTAGGTGTGGTTGTTAATAATTGTGAGTTTGCTGTCCTTTTACTATACATGTCTTTTCTTTATCTCCTTTTCTTAGATAAGTCGTTTTGACATTTCATAAAATGAGGGCTTGGTGATGATGAACTCCTTTAGCTTTACCTTATCTGAGAAGCACTTTATCTGCCCTTCCATTCTAAATGAGAGCTTTGCTGTATAGAGCAATCTGGGTTGTAGGTCCTTGTCTTTCATGACTTGGAATATTTCTTTCCAGCCCTTTCTTGCCTATAAGGTCTCTTGGGAGAAATCAGCTGATAGTCTGATGAGAAACCCTTTGTAGGTTACTGTCCCCATATCTCTTGCTGCTTCTAGGATTCTCTCCTTCATTTTTACCTTGGCTAATGTAATTATGATGTGCCTTGGTGTGTTTCTTCTTGGGTCCAACTTCTTTGGGGCTCTCTGAGCTTCCTGGATTTCTTGGAAGTCTATTTCCTTTGCCAGAGTGGGGAAGTTCTCCTTTATTATTTGTTCAAATATGTGCTCAATCTGTTGCTTTTCCCCTTCCCCTTCTGGTACCCCTATAATTCAGATGTTGGAAATTTAAAGATGTCCTGGAGGTTCCTAAGCTTCTCCTCGTTTTTTTGAATTCTTATTTCTCCATTCTTTCCTGTTTGGTTGTTTTTTTCTTCCTTCTGGTCCACTCTATTGTTTTGAGTCCCAGTTTCCTTCTCTTCACTTTTGGTTCTCCGTGCATCTTCCTTCATCTCTTTTATGGTAACCTGCATTTTTTCATCTAATTTACACCCAAAATCAACCAATTCTGTGAGCTTCCTGATCACCAGTGTTTTGAACTGTGCATCTGATAGATTGGCTATTTCTTGGTCACTCAAAAGGATGAGTCCTGGGGGACTGATCAGTTCTTCTGTTGGACACATGTCTCTCTCTCTCTCCTTTTTTTATTTTTTTTTTTCCAGGTCTGGTTGCTCTTATTACAGTGAGGGGCAGAGCCTTAGGTGTTCCTTCACCTAAGGCTCTGGCACCCCAGTCACTAGATTGTGACGTTGTATGTGGGGGCGGGCACGGGGGCGGGAGGGAACAATGGCGGTAGCTCCATTCTCCTGGGATCTCAGTCCCTTCTCTGGGATCCTGGGTTGCGCACACTGCCCTGGTCCACAATGCCGCCTCACTGGGTCCGCCAGCCGCTGCTTGCGTACTCAGGGTCCACCGCTGAGTCTTGGAAGGCTTACACGCTCCCAGTTGCCTTACGCGCCAGTTCTCCCCGATCTCCCCACGCCGCGACCCATGCCCGCTCCTCAGCGCCCCTCCTACTGGTCTGGATGAATGGGTCTACTTCAACTTCCCGGCTGTCCGACTTCCATTCAGATAAATTCTCTATCAGTTCTGGGTGTTATTCTAGCTCTAAATTATTGTTGTTCTAATCTTGGTTGTGCGTGGAGGTACGGTGCATCCATCTATGCCTCCATCTTGCCGGAAGTCCAGATTATACCAAATTTTAACTGAATAAATTTAATAGGTCATATTAGTATTGTTTGCATATTTATTTAAAAATAGACATTCCTTTTATCTTGAAATCCAATAAAGATGTCTTTAAAAAATGACTTGATGTGTTTAAACTTATCTACTTATCTACGGGATTCCCCCACCATTGATTAACTGCCTGAAATGAATTAATATAGGTTAAGTATTTCATTCTTTAACCAGGAAATACATTTTGAGCACCTACCATATGCCCCACACTGTTCTAGGCTCAGGAGATGAGTAGTGATCATTCAAGCCCCTCCCTGCCTCCCAGAAGATTACAATCTATTGGAATGGCAAACAATAAGTACAAATACGACCTCCAAATAATGAGGTCAGACCTGTATACAGGTCTGAGCTGGAGGCAGGGTCAGAGTTTGGGGTGTATATTTGTGGTTCATCAGCTCCTAAATGGCATTTGAAGCCGAGGGATTGGGTGAGTTCACCCACGTCACTGGTTCTCAACTACAGGTGATTTCCCCCACAGGGGACCCTTGACAATGTCTGGATATCATTTTGATTGGCACAGCTTGCGGGGGTGAGGGGCTGGTGTGCAGGTACTGCTGGCATGTGTTAGGAAAAGGACAGGGATACTG